GTTGGTGAAACTTGGGCGGGGCCGAAACTTTAGTCCACTTTGGACGATAATAGATTTTGGAAATCGAAACTATGTGAAATACTATGAAAACGTGAGGCACACTTCTATCACAGGGTTAAAAAAATTTTCCATACAGTCCTTCATCGCTTTAACGAAATTGGTTGATAAATTTTCGTACATACGATCTACTGATAATCTCGAAAATTTATTTATAAAATGATACAGGGGCTTACTAAATTTACTATTGAGCTATAAAAGTATGACAAATTAATAGTTCTCGGTGCTCTACACGTTGACGAGGTAATTAAGTGTGGTAGAGATGTGTTTATACAACCCACGAATGCGAGCTTCATAACATCTTTTAAAATCATACTTATGCTGATAAAAAGAAGTTTGAATTTGGAAAATGTGGGGCAACGAGATAGGAAATGAAAGGTTAAAGAATATTTGCGTTCCAAAGTTTTTCCACTAGTGGAAATGTGAAATTATATTTCAATACACATAATAGGTCAGGCAGAAATGCTGCTATACTTAGCTAATCGCATTGCAATCCTGACAAATTTCGAAAGTGAACAGCAATTCAATGTTTAATTCAATAACCTCGTGAGGTCTATTCATTTCCTTGTGGGAATATTCAGCAACCAGTTCTACCTAAATTTATGCAAGCTAGGACGAATAAATCGTAGATATGATGACCAAAATGGTGTGGCCTTCAGTTTAGTTGCGTCATAGTGTTGGTTCGACCTCGTTTTCGCAACTTAGTCCGAGTGAGAATGTACCAAGTCAATGATCCAATGCTGGAATATTATGAAAGAGGATACAGAACAAGCTAGGTTCCACAAGATCTCCCCGACACTCCGAAGAAGTTGCGAAAACGAAGTCGAACCAATCCTACGATGACTAAAGATCCTACTAAATAAATGACGCTTCAATAAATTTCAAGTATGCACCTCCCTCGGTGCCCGTAATCAGCGAGGCCAAGACTTTATGGATGCCTGGTAGGCTTGTTTTGTCTTTTAACTTGTCATTCTTCCGTCGACCTCATCCTACTGCCATACGGATGTATTTTTTCAGGTAAATATGGGACTGACATCACAGTGCCAAGTGATCTGATGATGGAGATTCTGATCTTTTTGCGCTTCCGAGTTTGTGTCAAGATGAGAGATATCAAGATTTCAGGTTCGAGCTGCCTGCAGTTTCAATTGGTGGCTCCGCCCAGCCAGGGCAAATGCAGCTTCGAGAAGTCCGGCGATTCAAGCGAGTGTGTCAAGTGCCAGGGGTTTAGCAGTCCTTTAAATCTTCCTCTACGATATCATTATTACTGTGAGTTACAAATTTATTTCGTATTACGAATATGAGGAGCCACTTTCATGAGCTACTACTTATCAGTCTGTAATGGGAATATTCAAATTCCCACTTTTTTCATACTTATCTGTTCAGTCGCCGGTTAGTCAGTGTTTAAGGCCCAGATATTATGAGCTGGTACTTGTCTGGTACGTTCGACTCTGGGCCTAAATTATAACCATTTATGCACTTGGAAATGACACAAAATGTATTTATTGAAATCTATGAGCAAACTTTTTCCCCTTAAGAGTGCATAGCCGGTCTAATTGGGTGGCAGATCTTGCCTTCAAATTTCTATTTTATATTTATTAAAGTATAATGTTGATCATAGTTCAAATCTGCTCTTCGATACTTTTTTATTCTGCTATTAATAACGTATACTGGGGATTCATGACAATTCAGAAACCCACTAAAGTGTGTACATCTTTCTGCCCACCTGTCTATCTGCCTACCTAACTACTTACCACCATTCTATATATATAAATATCTGTATTTACCGAATTTACCAGATATCATTCTTTTTATCTAGATATACTTCTTCAGTAAAGTTTATCTTTTAAACAGTACATTCATTTAAGCGAGGATTTGAAGAACACGATTATATGGCCTTTATAATGTTCACAGTCTCCCTTTTCTGTATATTACTGAGTTAACTTCATTTTTGCCACTTAGTCCTAGTATCATTACAAGCTTGATAAAGGCATCTTATATAAAACCCTGTGCTGTATTAGTCATGATAACCTCTGAAGTCTCAAACTAGCTGGAAGTTGCGCTAGAAATTATACTGACCTCTATAACAGATTATTCCAGACAAAGTGCTTTCCTCAAAGGCATCCTGGCGATATGATCATGGCACAAGAAAGAGCCCAAATCACTATTTTTTCAAACTATCTACCATAACTAACTAGTAAGCCATCCACCTTTCTAGACGGCTAGATTAAGTAACAACAACAAGTCTATGTATCCCCAGAATAAGGTACCTATCTAGCCTTGAATATAAGGGAAAACATTTTAACATTTTTTACATCTGGAAGAGGTGAGAAGCAGAAATGCGTAGATTAAATGCAAAGCATAATTCGTCAATAAAGGATTTTAAATATGCATTTTCTTGGAAATTAACTAATTTTCCTCCGCAGCTCAATATCATCAAGTTAAAGAGCTCCATGGGAAAGCCAGATATTAATTCAAAAGTCAAATTATTCCCTCAAGTACGGCAAAAAATATGACGTATCAACCCTTAAATATGCTTGACCATGTTTCTACCGTATGCTATTTTCACCGAGTGATAATTTTCACAAGCCACGAACCTCATGCAATGATCCTTGATCATTAAATTGGCAAAAAATAATATGCTATTGATACTTCAACTTTTCTTAAAAACCATTTCAAAGTGTCCAACTCACAGTAAATTTATTCATTCTTTTCCTCAGGTTCCTCTAAGGCAACAAATGAGCTCCACACACTGGAGTTTTCGGCTTCTTCAACATTCTGCGACTGGATTGAGCCACATTTGAACACATGGGAGCCCTGTGTGAAAATTTTGGATCCATTCGGCGGATATGCCACTTATTGTGGTACAGAAAGGAAGGTAAGAAATGGGTTCTATGAGATTTATTCACCCAATTTCGTTTAAGATGATGAAGGACTGGTATAAAAATTTTCCCACAATGATATGTGTAGAGCTGACGTTTCCATTGAATTTCACATAGCTGAGGGTGTTGATAAGACCGATGCGAGATCGAAACTGCAGTCCACTCTGGATGAGAATAACTTTTGGAAAAGCAAGGCTGAGTAAAATTTAATAGAAGCATCAGCTCTACTCATATCATTTTGGGAAAATTCTTCTACCAGTCCTTCATCATCTTAAACGAAATTGGGTG